CTCTAGAAAAAACGATATCAGCTCCTTAACTATTATTTTTTCCATGCATTTCAGGGGGTTACATGTGAGACTAATAGGCCTGAAGTTCTCTGGTTTGTGCTGATAAGCCTTCTTGAGCAATGCTGTCACAATTGAATATTTCCATGCTTCTGGTATCTTTCCTTGTTCTAAACATTCTTGCATCACCCCTGAAAGTAAAGGACTGACTGAATTGGCACAATTCTGAAGGAAAACAGTGGGAATTCTATCGGGCCCTGGGCTTGAGCCTCTTTTCATATTTTTGAGAGCTTCTTCAATTTTTTCCATTGTAAAATTAATATTTTCAATTGAGTTTTGTACCCTGCTATAGTCAGCTCGATAGTCAGGCAATGGTGGAGTTGGGTATGTTTCTTTCGTAAAGGCTGTATCAAACTGATCTGCAAATTTTTCTGCCATGGATTTGCTATCCAGAAACTGTTGGTATGTTGGATCTTTCATCAAAGTTATGGTTGAGACTTTCGAGTTTCAAGTTGCGATTTACATATTTGCATAGCTTTTTTTGCGAAGACGATTTCACAAGACCATTTTCAATTTCAAATTTTTAATTTCCAAAAATTAATTTAGTTTATCTAGGTCTTGATTAGTTTCCGTCTCTAACTGCCTTATGTCTGAACCAATATAAACTAAACCAAATATCTGGCCCTAATGTTTGCTGATTTTAGATTGAAAACATAAATGGACTGAAAATGCCGCCCCAAGTCCAAACTTTGTGGTACTCTTTAGTTATTTGATGAAATACTACTTTTACATACTTCTAACTTAACAAATTGTTGCCCGAGTTGTTGCCTATTACCTAAATATGTGTTAATTAAATTGAAAATATTTTCCTGAAACCCCAGACAATGAAGCTTACTCAACAGTTTTTCTAGTGAAAAAATTCCTTTAAATGCACAAATACCAATACTTATAAACTATGAAGTGCCTCTGTCCATCCTGAACGGACTACAGAAACAATAGTTTAAGGCTTGAAAAAGAAAAAATATATTCCGAAACGTTGCCTAGAAGCTTGATTGTTTCTTTCTTGGTCCTTTCCTCTAGCCCACGAAAGTAAAACATAGTTTTTTTTTGTCCAAATTAATAACAAACAATTCACAAAGCCAAATATAGGTGATAGTCTATTGCTGTTTATGATGAGTCATTATCAGATAATATATATATATATTATATATATATATATATATATATATATATATATATATATATATATATAAATAGTGTAGGTATTCGTGACTGGCAACTTATAAATGGAAGATATTTTCTGGGGTATCAGTCTGGGTCTAAATAAAAGTCTTAAAACTTTTTAGCTACGCCTAGCTTTCGAAAATTTTTATTTTCTTCTTCAGGGCTATATAAAAAGAATAATATTTATACAAATAAATATTAAAAGGAAGGCTTACTTACTGCTATGTGTTTTAAATTGAAAAAATATCATTTACAAGAAAATTTGGCATACTTTTTAAATAAATTGTTACAATCTGACTTTTTTAGTATTACTTTCAGGTATGAGTATGATCTGAAATTTACAAATAACAATGGTTCAAGAAATGGTGGAAATGTTTTTTTAAGAAAATTTCAACATTATTCCAAAGAAAAGTTGGTTTATGTTTTGATAAATTTATAAAAGTGATATATTTTGACTATAAGTGAAGTTATTATTATTTATAGGTTTCATTGTTAGGATATTTGAATAGATAATGCTTAAATCATCTATGTCTGATCTTTTATTCATAGAATTGTTATTTAAAAAGATTTCAACCATCTCCAAAAACAAAAACCACCTAATGAAAGAGAAGTCTCTATAAAAAATTTAATTGCAGATGTAGAAAATATTATTAGAATTGTTCCTAATAATGGAAGAAATATTATTAGAGCAAAATTCACTAACATACTAACGAATTTTCTCCAAAGACCTATAAAACAAAATTATATTAACTTTCTATTCTATAAAACTAAAAAATTTTTCAATGATCATAAAGAGTTGATAATAACAAGAGCTGACAAAGGAAATGTAACTGTCATTCTTTCCAAAGAAATGTATATAGAAAAATCTAATAGTATACTTCAAAATCAGAATTGTTACAAACAACTTAAAAATGATCCTACATCAACCTACCAACAGAAAGCTAATAAATTAGTTAAATATATGAAAGATCATGGACAACTGAATGAAGAATCAACAAAAAAACTAACAATCTATGACCAATCATCTCCAAAATTTTATGGTCTTCCTAAAATTCATAAACCACAATTATCACTTAGACCAATTATTTCTTCAATCAATGCCCCAAATAGCAAATTAGCTTTGTTATTGACAGATATTTTAACTAATTCATATGATAAAAACAATGAATACTATATAAAAGACTCATTCGATTTTTCACAATTTGCAAATGACAAATATTTACCTACAAATTATGTCCTAATTAGTTTAGATGTTGTCTCTTTGTTCAGCAATATACCTTATAAATTGGTAGAGATTAGTATAGGAAAACATTGGGATCAAATTAAAGATAACACTACTCTAACAAAAATCAATTTTTTAAAGATATTGGAGTTTATATTTGATACAACTTACTGTAAATTTGATAATGTTTTTTACAAACAACTATTAGGGACTCCAATGGGAGCTACTATATCACCTATAATTTCACAATATGTAATGGATGATCTAATTGATGCTTGTTTACCTAAATTATCTTTTGAAGTGCCTTTTTTAAAAAAATACGTGGACGACATCATAACATCAGTACCGAATGATAATATAGAAGAAATTTTAGAAATATTCAATAGCTATAATTCACATATACAATTCACTTTAGAAAAGGAAGAAAACAAAAGTTTACCTTTCCTAGATACGAAAGTAATTAGAAATCATGATAATAAAATAATATTAGATTGGTACTTCAAACCAACTAGTTCTGGAAGATACATGAATTTCCATTCATATCATACCACTAAAATCAAAATTAACCTAATTATAGGATTAAAAACAAGGATTGAGAAAATTTCACATCCATCACTAAAAAACAATAATTTCAAAAAACTTTACAATATATTAATAAATAACTCTTACCCACCCAAATTCTTGAAAAAATTGATTTTTAACACAATTTCTATTAATCCTTTGGAACATATAGATACAGAAAATGATAATAACACCGAAGATAGAACTCCTTTACCTACTAATTTACAAACTTATTATTTTTCTATTCCTTTTATAAAAGAAATTTCTAATAAAATCACAAAGTTATTTAAAAATACACCATCAATAAAAATCGCAAATAAACAAACTAAAACAATCGGAAAATTATTTACAAAAATTAAAGACAAAGAGGAAAATCTAAAATCTTCGAATGTTGTATATAGTATTCCTTGTAACCAATGTGAAAATTGTTATATAGGTCAAACATCCAGAGTTTTAAAAGATAGAATCACTTCTCACAAAAGTGATTGTAGATTAGGAAAAAATACTTCTATATTATCTACACATTTCAATGAATTAGATCATAGTTTTAATTATAATGAAACCAAAATATTACATAGGGAACAAAATTATAATAAAAGATTGTTTTTGGAGATGGTTGAAATCTTTTTAAATAACAATTCTATGAATAAAAGATCAGACATAGATGATTTAAGCATTATCTATTCAAATATCCTAACAATGAAACCTATAAATAATAATAACTTCACTTATAGTCAAAATATATCACTTTTATAAATTTATCAAAACATAAACCAACTTTTCTTTGGAATAATGTTGAAATTTTCTTAAAAAAACATTTCCACCATTTCTTGAACCATTGTTATTTGTAAATTTCAGATCATACTCATACCTGAAAGTAATACTAAAAAAGTCAGATTGTAACAATTTATTTAAAAAGTATGCCAAATTTTCTTGTAAATGATATTTTTTCAATTTAAAACACATAGCAGTAAGTAAGCCTTCCTTTTAATATTTATTTGTATAAATATTATTCTTTTTATATAGCCCTGAAGAAGAAAATAAAAATTTTCGAAAGCTAGGCGTAGCTAAAAAGTTTTAAGACTTTTATTTAGACCCAGACTGATACCCCAGAAAATATCTTCCATTTATATATATATATATATATATATATATATATATATATATATATATATATATATATATATATATATATATATATATATATATATATATTATATATAATAGATAATTATTCTATGGCTACCCTATTTTTATTAATCAAATGAAAGCTGAATGCTAAGAATTTCAACATACAGATAAACTGGAAAATTATCAACTAACAATGATATCATGGTTTTTTTTTAATAGTCACTTATTTCCGAGCTCATTTCTTTAATTAATCAACAAAGATTGGTGAGGTCATCCAATCTTTTGATGCTGGTGTTTTTAACTAAAATTTCCACTTCCAACGGGCAGCAGCCCAATTTTACAGATATTGCCATAATAATAATATTAATACTAATAACAAACCACATATAAATAAAAAATTTAAAAAGAGTACAATAAATTATTTCTAAATTAAAAAATTAAAAGGACAACAAAAAACAGCCAAAAACAGATCACAGAGTAAATCACTAGATTACAAAATAATATCACAGTGATAGTTTCATTTGGCGCAAAGACGCAGTAAATATGTCTACCTGTATCTCATTGGCATAAGATATAGCCCGATTAATGGTTGTGTGTTGGCCATAAGAAGTACGATGTCTCTCCAATGAAAAACAGCGCGCAGCTCTAAAATTTCTCACTGGTACATTCAAGTTTACAGCCGAGAGCAACTCAGGGCAATTCAGATAACCTCTGAGCAACTTAAAAATCAATAACTGATCAAATTTCCACTGATCAAAAATGACTCAAAAATTCTAAAATACTAGTTGGTTTGTTCATAAATATGTAGTACAAATATTAAATACTTTTTTTATAAATTATTATAACCTATTATTTAATCATCTAGGGTCAAACTAGTGAAATTGATGAAGGATTATACTCCAGACAACTCTATGTATTGGGCCATGATGCTATGCGTAGGATGGCTACAAGTGATGTACTTATATCCGGCTTGGGAGGATTAGGTGTTGAAGTTGCCAAGAATGTCATTTTGAGTATGTATTATAAAAAAAAAAAATCTTTAAACTTATTTCTAAAAAAAAAAAAACATCATAGGTGGTGTAAAGTCAGTAACTGTCCATGACGACAAAGAAGCAACAATAACTGACTTGAGCTCCCAGTTTTTTTTGTCAGAAGAGGACGTTGGCAGCAACCGTGCCGAGGTCGTTTGCAAAAAACTAGCTGAGCTTAACAGTTATGTCCCAACTCGTTCTTACACTGGATCCCTTGATGAAGATTTCATTAAAAAATTCAGAGTAGTCGTTCTGACCAACTCTACTAGCAGTGAACAACTGAGAATCAGTGAAATCACTCATGCTAATAATATTGCTTTGATCATAGCAGACACTAGAGGGTTATTTGCCCAAGTGTTTTGTGATTTTGGAGAATCTTTCACTGTGGTTGATGCAACTGGAGAGCCTACTGTTTCTGCTATGATTGCTGATATTAGTAATGATACAGAAGGTAAGTTGATGTTATCTTTGACTGCTGCATATTCATAATTTATTTAATACCTACTTGAAATTATAATACTTTTCCCAAATAAATGTAAGTTTCAATTTTTCAGACAGTTTATTATTTGGGCGCATGTATCTGCATTTTTTTTTCTTCAAAGTTTTTTTGTTTTGTTTGGGATACCCATACATCATTAGATGGATTCTTAATTCAATTCAATTCAATTCAAAATATGCTTTATTATCCAAGACAAAAGTATCTTATTGACAAAGCTGTTAAGATACTGAAATGCTGTTCACTGACAAAAATGCGGTTTTTCTTTCAATGAAAATTTTGTAGGTGTTGTTACCTGTATTGATGATACCAGACATGGAATGGAAGATGGCGATTTTGTTGTATTTTCAGAGGTTCAAGGTATGACTGAATTAAATGGGTGCTCACCTATCAAAATCAAGGTAAGTGCCATTATTTTTTAATATTTTACAACTAGATCTTTGATTATTTTAGGTTTTGGGACCATACACATTCAGCATCGGTGACACTACAGCCTTCTCAAAATACCAAAGAGGAGGTATTGCGACACAAGTAAAAATGCCTAAGGAATTGCATTTCAAATCGCTCAAGGAATCCTTGGGAAATCCTGAGTTTCTCATGACGGTAGGTTAATAACAGAGGTCTATTTTGATTTGAGGTAATTCAAGTTTCATTCCAGGACTTTGCCAAATTCGATTACCCACCTCAATTACACTTGGCATTTAGTACGCTTCACGCATTTGAAGAAAAAAACGGGCGGGTCCCTAAACCGTGGAGCAACGATGATGCAGCTGAATTTGTGGCACTTGCCAAAACTAATGCCAGTAGCGGCGATACTGAAATAAATGCCGGCTTATTGGAAACTTTTGCAAAGGTAAATAAAATTAAACCTCAATCAATCAAACTAAATACCCCTTCTCAGGTTTGTGCTGGAAATCTAAACCCAATCAATGCAACAATTGGAGGTATAGTGGCTCAAGAAGTAATGAAAGCTTCTTCTGGAAAATTCCATCCAATTGTACAATGGTTATACTTTGATGCCATTGAAACTTTGCCTTCTGATAGGTCTGAAATTACAGAAGAATCAGCTGCACCTCAAGGCACCAGATATGATGGACAAATTGCTGTGTTTGGAAAAGAATTCCAGAACAAAATAGGTACATTTTCAGTTTCAAAAATAAATATTTCAAAATGTTATTACCAAAACCAAAAAGTTCATTTATGATACTCACATTTTGCTTTTTTTTTAGCTGCTCAGAAATATTTTGTGGTAGGCGCGGGCGCCATTGGTTGTGAGCTATTAAAGAACTTTGCGATGATGGGCCTGGGTACTGAAGGCTGCATCATTGTCACCGATATGGACCTTATTGAAAAATCAAATTTGAACAGGCAGTTTTTGTTTAGACCACATGATGTTCAAAAAGCAAAATCTGACACTGCAGCATTGGTAAGAATATAGCAATTGATATAGGTAGAATATCTTAGTGACCCATAAACTATTCTCATTTATAGGCAATTCTGAAAATGAATCCTCAAATCAACATTGTTGCTCACCAGAATAGGGTCGGCCCTGACACTGAAAGTGTTTATGATGATGAATTTTTCGAAAATTTAGATGGAGTTGCGAATGCTTTGGATAATGTAGATGCAAGGATTTACATGGATAGAAGGTAAGTTTTTTTTTATATAGTGAAAATGTAATTTAAACTGGCTCTTGAATAATTGAAAATTCAGGAAAACCAAAAAAAATCTGTACCTGATGACAGACAAGTATTATTGGTTTTATATAGACGTCTTTCTACAGTTGACTCTATTTTTACCACCTCACCATTGTTTTCAACACACCGCAATTGGCAAAAAAAACATAGTTCAAAGCTTTGAAATATTTCCTAAATATTGAGATAGAATAAAAAACACTTTGTATATTAAAAAAAAAGCATTTATTCATTGAACAGCTTAGCATAACTCAAAGTCCCAGTCTTTCTAGCTTGAGCTGCTTCCACCAATATAGACGGCGGTATATACAATTCCTTTATTGTTGGCACAGTGAGCATAATTTTTGCCCACTTTTTCAAACAAGGTATTTGCTCAGCTGTCAATGGAAGCCTGTCAGCACCTAAAAGAGGGCCTAAAGCTGGCACACGTTCAGCCCATGGCCACAACATATAGTCCACCATTCCAGGTTTGTCTCCACCATAAAAGGTGGTTCCTCTCTGAGCTAGTTCATCTTCTAGAGGTTGAGTAGCTGGTAAAAGGATTTCTAAAGCTTCTTGTGGAGTACATTTTCTTACACCGTATTGGATTTGGGCAAGGAGACTTATAGGGCCAGGAGAAAGATCTCTTATTATTTGCTGATCATGTTTTTTTGCATCTGGATTGGTTGGATATAAAGGGGTGTTTGTAGGATATTTTTCGTCTAGATAATCAGCAATATCTAGACTCTCAGTGATTATTTTGTCACCGTCTAGTAGGGTTGGTACTTGTCCTAAAAATTTGTAACAATATTTTATTGACTCTGTTTTTTTATTTCTCCTCTAAATGAGGCCTTACCTTTCGGATTTATTTTCAAATACCAGTCTGGTTTGTTCTGTAAGTTAATGTTAACGATGTCGTGTGGTAAATTTTTTGCTCTCAAAACTAACCGTGCCCGTTCGGCAAATGGGCAAAGTTTCATTGAGTAAACTCTCAGGAGTCCTTGGATTCTAGGAGGTTCAACTGATCCTACAATATAAAATAATAACTACTTTGGAAATCTTTATAATTGTTATGTGTTTTTATTTTACCTGAGGATAAATGTTTATCAGACATGATTTGGGGTAATCTACTGATGGATTGATTATAAGTAACTGGTGGCTTGATAACTTTGTATAAATCTTTTTAAATTCAATGCGCCTTATCTGTTATTATTTGATAAATTACTATCTAATTGCATCATTTTATAGCAGTTTATAATTAGCTCTTGTCCTCGATTATACATTCCTCGATACATTCTATGTTGTTTTTATGTGTTCCATTAAATTTATTATTATTATTATTATTATTAGAATTACAATATCAGGCGGTCGAAACCAATGAAGCTATTGTTACTTTAACAAAATTTTAAAGGATACGTGGGATTTAGTTTATGCACCATAATTATTCTTTCTGAGTATTCTTTCAATTTTTTGTCAACACGATTTTTAGAAATATTAGTGTTTGGTGCTGGCTGAAACTGTATGTTGTTGGCAAAGCAAATTCCACAAATGCTCTACACGGTTTAGTATAAAGTTTTTCCTAGGTAGTTTTGATGGTCTTTCCTTTTCAAGCTTTTTAGAATGGCTGCAAAGATGAGGATTTCGACATGGAATAGCTATTTACCTAACAAGTGCGGAAAATGAAGTTTTTCGCACGCGGCTGCCGTTCACCGAACGACGCGTAGCGGAGTTCGGTGATGCAGCCGAGTGCGGAAAAATATTTTCCGCAAGTGTTAGGTACACTATTTTTCCTACAGGCGAAAAAATGTAAAATTTTTCTTTTATTTTTTTGACATATCAGTGCGGTAAAATTTTTTCCGCACTGACAGCCGTGCGGAAAAACTTTTTCCGCACTGATATGTCAAAAAAAAAAGTTTTACCGCACCGTGCGGGAAAACTCATTTTCCGCACGCATATCAGTGCGGAAAATCGATTTTTCCGCACGGCTGTAGGAAATAGCTATTTACCTAACAAGTGCGGAAAATGAATTTTTCCGCACGCGGCTGCCGTTCACCGAACGACGCGTAGCGGAGTTCGGTGATGCAGCCGAGTGCGGAAAAATATTTTCCGCAAGTGTTAGGTACAATATTTTTCCTACAGGCGTAAAAATGTAAAATTTTTCTTTTTTTTTTGACATATCAGTGCGGTAAAATTTTTTCCGCACTGACAGCCGTGCGGAAAAACTTTTTCCGCACTGAAATGTCAAAAAAAAAAAGTTTTACCGCACCGTGCGGGAAAACTCATTTTCCGCACGCATATCAGTGCGGAAAATCGATTTTTCCGCACGGCTGTAGGAAATAGCTATTTACCTAACAAGTGCGGAAAATGAATTTTTCCGCACGCGGCTGCCGTTCACCGAACCACGCGTAGCGGAGTTCGGTGATGCAGCCGAGTGCGGAAAAATATTTTCCGCAAGTGTTAGGTACAATATTTTTCCTACAGGCGTAAAAATGTAAAATTTTTCTTTTTTTTTTGACATATCAGTGCGGTAAAATTTTTTCCGCACTGACAGCCGTGCGGAAAAACTTTTTCCGCACTGATATGTCAAAAAAAAAAGTTTTACCGCACCGTGCGGGAAAACTCATTTTCCGCGCGCATATCAGTGCGGAAAATCGATTTTTCCGCACGGCTGTAGGAAAAATATTTATCAGATTACACTGATAGTAATCACTGGTTATTTTGTAGGTTTCAATTAATTCGCCTCTGTGCCTTCTTTCTTTAAGAGATGTCAAATTGAAATATAGTAATCTTTCCGGATATGGCAACTGTTTCAACTGTGGGGGAATTTTTGTCACTCTTCTCAAAAAGTTCTATATCCTTAATGTAATATGGATAGTTGATGTCAAATGATAGTTTATAAAAATCTAAGATAGGAATGTAAAATCGGTTTTCCTCTAAAATTAACCGTTCAGGTTTTACAGCCTGTCAAAGTTGCAAAAAGTCAATTTTCAACTGTCAATATTTCCAAAACAGTTGAACTTAGGTATAGAGTATATCACATGAAATCTGCTCAAAATTTTACGTAGAATCTAAATCTGTAATCACATATAGGGTGTTCCATTTAAAATAGCGATGTTGCCACTAATTTAGAGTAGAAGCGGCAACACCGCATGGTCTAAAATATTTTTAAAGTGTAGATCATGGTTGTTTATCCCGGTTGCCAAATTTTCAAAATAATCCGCTTTTTAGTTCTCCATAAACGTCTAATACGCCATCCACCGTGGGACACCCTGTATAGCTTTTGTAATGGGTAGATATCATCTCGATGGAGTGGTCTCTAAAGGCATGGGTAATTAAGTATACGTAGGAGTTAGCTTGTTAAGTTATTTTAATTATGTGATTCTCCCACTTCAAGTCAGTTGTTACTACAACTCCCAGATAATTTTGTTCATTTACTAATTTCAAAGCAGAGTCGTTAAAAATATAGTCTCTGTTAGGGTTATTTGGGCCAATCCTTAGTACTGTGCATTTTGAGGAGTTCAATTTTATTTCTTATGTTTTTGACCACTCTGCAATGTTCTTAAGATCAGTTTGAAGTAAATTCGCATCTATCAAAAGATTTGCATAGATTTTGCAATCATCTGCAAACAATTTAACATTGGATTGGATTAGTTACACCAAATCAAAAAGATATGCTGTGAACAGCACCAGACCGATCACCGAACCTTGCACGACGCCACTGGTTACCCTATGGGAGCTGGAAAGCTCTCCATTAACTCTCACTTGAAAAAAATTATCTTCTAGCAGATCCTTGATCAAGGCAAGCAACTTTTCTCTAACTCCAGAGTACTGTAATTTCACTAATAATAGGTTATGTGGGACTTTGTCAAATGCTTTTTCATAATCTACAGTGTGTCCCGCTTAAGAACTGACCACCCTTCTAAAATTTTTATTTTTCAACCGATTCAATTCATTTTTTTTTTTTGTCTTTTAGCTACTCGAATTTGGCACTTATTAGGCTCATAATTTTTTTTCTACGGTTGCACTGGTTTACAGGGTGTCCACATTTATAGGCTCAAATTTCAATAAGTAGTGTTAGGGATTTTTTTAGAGAAAATCTGAGAGCAGATTCTTGTTTAGAATGGTCTAAAACCCCAGTGTACGAATTTTTGTTCCAATAGGATACAGGGTGATCACAACAAATTTTTAAAATTGAATGGATCAAACCCTAAAAATTTTATATTTTGGGACAAGCTTACTACAAGTTTTGGTTAAGGATGTTCTAAAACTATGTTGTATCAAGTTTTGTTGTTCTCAAGGTCTCAAAATATGAAATTTTCCCGGTTTGGTTTATTAAATTTTGAAATTTTTTTGTGATCACCCTGTGTCCTATTGGAACAAAAATTCGTACATTAGGGTTTTAGACCATTCTAAACAAGAATCCGCTATCAGATTTTTTCTAAAAAAATTCCTAATAGTACTTATTGAAATTTGAGCCTATAAATGTGGACACCCTGTAAACCAGTGCAGCCGTAGAAATAAAATTATGAGCCTAATAAGTGCCAAATTCGAGTAGCCACAAGACAAAACAAAAATTAATTGAATCGGTTGAAAAATAAAAATTTTAGAAGGGTGGTCAGTCCTTAAGCGGGACACACTTTAGATATATAACATCTGTTGGTAGGCCATTGTCGTGGTTGTCCAATCATTAAGACATTCCAAAAGATTGGTAGTGGTAGAACCTTTTGGTAGAAATCCATGTTGGGCCGAAGGTATGAGATTGTTTTCTAGAAAGAAAGATCTTAGTTCCTTAACTATAATTTTCTCCATACATTTCAGCGGGTTACAAGTAAGACTAATAGGGCGATAATTTTCTGGTCTATGTCGATCCACTTTTTTGTACAGTGGCGTGACAATGGAATATTTCCAAGGTGCTAGAATTTTTGTTTTAAGCAAGCATTCCTGCATCACCCCCGCAAGCAATGGGCTAATTGTGGCACTACAGCTCAGAAGAAAAACTGTTGGGATTTCATCAGGCCCTGAGCTTGAGTCTCTTTTCATACATTTCAGAGCTTGTTCTACTTTATCAGTTGTAAATTGTATTTGTTCGATAGACCTCTCTATTGTCATGCAGGGCTGGAGCCGGATAAGCTTCAGTTGTAAAAACTGTGTCAAATTGCTCTGCAAATTTCTCCGCTATGGCTTCACGATCCAAAAACTTCTCGGATGCAGGATCTTTTAAAGTTATGGTTGATACTTTGTAATTAAGAAACAACTCCCACTAGACTAAGGATAATGGTATGTTTAGGTAATGCATAATTTGAATTTAACCAAGATTTTAACAGATACTGTCTGAAAATAACAATTGCATCATTAGTTTATGAAAGGTAATAGGGATATCGAAGAGTTGTTTTGTACTCGAAGGAAGAATATGGTAATCCGAAACATCGCAGCAGTGAAAAAGATGCTAGAGCAGCGCAGAAAGTGTTTCCACGTCTGAGGCTGACTTTCAGGTAGTTCGTAATAGAAGAAAACGTAAAAACTTTGGAAAAAGAAATACAGAACCTAATTTTGAGGGCGGACATAGACGAGCCTGGCTCTATATCAATAGAATTAAAAGATCAGCATCGGAGGAAACAATAGAAGCTTATATTTAAAAAAAAAAAACATGTTTCAAAAATGCACCCATCATAGTAAAGTAAATCCCTACTGATGAAGATAGACCTAAGTCATTCCTTAGACTATGACATTCTTAGTAATTGCGCCACTAGAGAAAAAGGATAAGATGTATAAAAATACCTTGTGACCAAAGTATGTTGGAGTTGGTAGATTCAACTTTAACTCACATAGAGATTTCCTGAGAAACATTGGAAACGAACTTGGTACTGATAGGGGCGGCAATGTTTTGTAAGACATAATAATGGTGGAAAAGAAACAAACAATCACACTAGTATTGGCAAACCTGTGCATGCTAATAAAACAGCGCAATCCGCAACTCAATCATAAGCTCTATACACTGGCCATGTGAACATAAGGTCCCTAATCCCGTCTTTTCCGGATGTCTGTGAGCTTGTGCTTCACGAAAAATTTCATGTTTTTGGTATTTCAGAATCGTGGCTATCGTCTCAGACTACCCCAACGCTTTAATCAATATTCTGGGCTACCAGCTTTTTCTTTTTTAGGCCATCAAGGGGTGGAGGCATTTGTTTGTATGTTGCTAGTTGTTTCAAAAGCGAGCTAGTAGATATTTCAGTGGATCGAAGCAGTGATAACCTGATTGAACAATTGTGGGTTGAGGTTCACTGCAAAAATAAATTATTACTGATTGGTGCGATGTACAGACCGCCAATAATTAATTACACGCATCTCGACGGTGTGGAAAATACATTGGCGTCGTATGACAGCATTATTCTTATGGGTGACCTTAACGTCAATTTGATGGTCGTTTGCACTTGAATATTTTCTGAATAACAATGTGGAAACCATTTTTCTAGCATTGAAGAAACTTTATCTGGCAAAATTAAACAAGATTTAAATATCAATTTTGAAGAAGAAGAGGTTGCAGATGGCATAATTTTAGAGCCAACAACAATTATAGAATTAAAACAAACAATTTACTCATTAAAAAACAACTGTGCCCGAGGCATTGATAGCATAGTAAAAATAGATCTGCAAACCCTTATCAACATCATTGGACCAAAAATGGTAGAGCTCACTAATAAAGTCTTGCAAACAGGGAAATATCCTGAAGAGCTGAAAGAAGCTAAAATAATCCCAATGTTCAAAAAAGGATCACAAGATGATTTGAACAATCACCACAGGCCTATTTCATTACTCAGCACCTTATCTAAAGTATTGGAAAAAATCATTAATACAAGACTAGTAAAATTTATTGGAACAAAATTTAAGTTTGATAATCAACAATATAGATTCCAAAGCAAGAGTAGTACACAAGGGGCAGTAGTGGATATGTTAGAATATATTACCAAAGAATTTGACAAAAACAAGTATGTAATAACAGTATTTGTTGATCTCCAAAAAGCGTTCGAAACAGTTGATATACAGCTAATTTTGAATAAATTGAATAAAATGGGATTTAGTGAAGTATGCTATAACTTGCTAAAATCCTATTCGACTGGTAGGAAGCACTGTACTGCGATAAATAATGAGAGTAGTGAAAAACTGGATTTGAACGTCGGCCTCGTCGAGGGCTCGGTATTGGTGCCACTACTGTATTTGCTCTATGTATATGTATAGCTTGAAACATGCAAACCTGAAAGCAGCGTATTTTAAATTTGCTGATGACACTGCATTGGTTTACTCAGATGATAGTGAAAAGCAGCTTGAAGAACTTGTTATTAGTGACTTAAAGCAATATTTTAAATGGCTGTGCTATAAAAAACTTTCCTTGAACGCTCAAAAAACAGTCTATATGGTAATTCAAAAAGGGAAAGCACCATGTTACTTTAACATAAAAATCAATCAACTAGCTCTTGAAAAAGTGTGTGAATATAAATACCTAGGTTTACTTATCTCTGAAAAACTGTCATGGGACAAACATATTGAGATTGTTACAGGGAAGATTGTACCAATGTTGGGTGCAATAAAAAGATGCTCACATCAATTAACCCAAACAACAAGGCCGTTGCTATATAATAGTTTTATAGAGCCACGCTTCAGATACTTACTAACATGCTGGGGAAACACAAGCGCTGTGCAACTAAATAAACTATAAAGATTGCAAAATAAAGGACTTAAGGTGATTTTTGGGCTAGACTAGTGAAGGAATATACAAAAAACTTACTTAACTACATAAAAATATGTGAACCTAAAGTGCTAGAACAATCAAAATTAATTTATTTAATACAAAACAAACTGCTTAAAACAAATGTGGAACTAAATGAAAACAGACAGTATTACAGCTACAGCACAAGAAATGACAAACAACTACGAAATACATATGCAAGAAACAAGACTCACCAATATACATATAGATGTATACAAGTATTTAATACAATACCAAAAAGGGTACTGGAGGGTACTATCCAGAACATTGGTCATAACCTTAAAGACTACTTGAGAAGAAACAGAAAATAAAATTTAAATTTATGTTAACATATATTTAGAAAAATATCATGTATTTATGTCTGTTAGTTTTTTTCATAAGGTCTCGGTGCCAGTTTATTGTAACTGTTTAGAGGTCTGGAATAAATTGTTGTTGAAAAAAAAACTTTGGATGGTGGGCAACTTAACTTTAGGCTCATTACGGAAAATGATGTTCTTCGGGTTTTCAAGCGGGTAAGGTAGTAAGGTCAAAAAGCATGGGTGTCGATCAGCTAAGTTATGATTTAGTATGGATTACATTGCCTTAATCATCGCTGAACTATTTAATGTCTTCTTACAAACTGGTACTTTTCCAACGTTATGGAAATGCTCTATCATTAATCCTGTTCTGAAAAAACCCACAGTAGAAACACTAGCGGATTTGAGGCCAATTTGTGGGAATTCCTATCTTGGCTAAAATGTTGGAACTATTGGTTCTGGATATTGTATTGGAGTTTGCAGATCACGTGAACTAATTCCGGAGGCACAATCTGAATTTCACAAAGGCCATAGTACAGCTACAGCACTTACAAAGGTAACCACAGACATTGCGACCAACATGACCTCATCATTGGTGTCGTGCCTGGTACTTTTGGACTATAGTAAGGCATTCGACCTGATACATCACGAAATGCTGAGTGCTAAAATGCACAACTATGGCTTTCCGGGCCAAATTTGTGTCTGATTTCAACAATATCTTTATCAAAGAACCCAAATTGTGAAGCTGAATGAGGCAAGATCAGAATCAGCAATAATGAGACATGGAGTACCCCAGGAGAGCATTCTTGGCCAGTTACTTTTTACATTATATACCAGCGGTTTTCCTAATAAACAAGTTCAGCATTGCTTCATTCATCTCGACGCTGACGACACCCAGCTTCTATACGGCTTTATACCTTGTCCAAGTTTGGAAAGGGTCAACAGCGATCTAAGTGCTATGCATGTTTGGTCAAAAAATCATGGATTGACACTAAATGCTAAGAAAAGTAACTGTATGATCATTGATTCACCTTTAAGTTAAAGTCGCTTTGAACATTTTAATTTTAACTGCCTGCATGTTGACGGATCGGTGTTGCCCTGTGTAGAGTCAGCCAGAAACCTAGGAGTTTTTTTTGACCATAACCTCGAGTTTCAACACCATGTAAATAAAAAAATCATCATTAGTTTATACGAAACTCAAAAGTTTGTATGCCTTCAAGTATATTCTAACACCTTGGATTAAACTATTGCTAGTTGAATCACTTGTTTATCCACACTTGGACTATTGTTGTCTAGTGTTTCATAAATTCTTGACAGTGGAATTTAAGAAAAAGATCCAATTAGCACAAAATGGATGCATTCGCTATATTTTGTGTGTGCATAAATCTGATCATATCTTATCTGTTTATTGAGAAAATGACTTACTAAGATATGAAAAACGAGTGGCTCTAGTTTATAGAGCTTTCAAATCTAACCTTCCAACGAGCCTTTGGCAATACTTGGTGGCGAGACAGGACTTGCATGACCAGAATTTGAGATTTGTTACCAGATATAATATACCGCAGCATAATACCGTCAAGTTTAGAAACTCATTCGCGTTTCAAGTGGCTGAATTATTCATTCCGGAAATATATAACATTATAGTTAATAATTCGCTAGCTGCTCTTAAACGAAAATATAAGTCCTATCTTGTCCAACATTTTTGAGTCACCCTGTATATATGGTATTAGGCAATTTAATCCATCTGTCAAAATGGAAAATTCAATATGGCGTGGCGGCCAAGCAAGTTTGTTTTGAATATGTTTTTATGCGTATTTTAAATTATTTTGCTTAGAGCTTTGCTTGCAACTTTGATTTTGATTATTTAATAAAATATTTGTTGACTAGAGGTACCGAAATTATTAAATCGGGCAGAAACTAGATATTTTTTCGTGTTTTTTGGCCCATGTGTGGCCGCCACGCCATCTTGAATGTCACGTGGTTTAAATTGCCTAATTATCATCAAAAAAATGGCCACTAAAATCAAAAATTGACGTGTCCGACGGTTTTTGAGAAATATCCACCCTGTATATTTTATAGATTTTATTTCAACCTTTACGTGCTCACTGTATAATTCACATTATACTTACTAATTACATCTAAAACAATCTCATTAGCATCTGATAATGATAAATCCATCTATTGAATACTACAAACTGCCACCTAGTGCCGTTTTCTGAAAAAAACATAGAAATCTACAATTAGGTGTTTCCATTTCCAGATGTGTTTACTACCGCAAACCTCTTCTAGAATCAGGCACTTTGGGCACAAAAGGAAACACTCAGGTGGTGGTACCATTCCTGACAGAATCGTACAGTTCATCTCAGGATCCTCCAGAAAAAAGCATCCCGATTTGTACTTTGAAAAACTTCCCCAATGCCATTGAGCACACATTACAATGGGCCAGGGATGCATTTGAAGGATTATTCAAGTAAGAAAGTGTAAAACTTGCTTTTATTATTTTTTATTTTGAATTGAAATTTATTGCAATGAGAAAATCTTTGAGATTGTTTACAGTTTTCTATAATCCTTGTGTGTTTAAAGTTGAATTATAAATTTTAGCCAAAATATAGAAAAGGCATACCAGTTTCTCAGCGATCCTGATTTCTTGGAAAGAACTCTTAAACTGCCAGGAGTTCAGCCTTTAGAAACTCTTGAACAAGTAAAGGCAGCTCTAGTTGATGAAAGGCCCAAATCATTTGATCAATGTATTGCTTGGGCTAGACTTTATTGGGAGGTGAGCAAAAAAACAAAAAACTTGCGTTTAGAAAGAAATCAACTATGGTTTTATTTCAGGATCAATACAACAACCAAATCCGTCAACTATTGTTCAACTTCCCACCAGATCAGCTAACATCAACAGGTCAGCTCTTCTGGTCAGGACCTAAACGTTGTCCTCAGCCCTTAACCTTTGACATCAACGACCCTCTGCATATTGATTATATTGCAGCTGCTGCTCGATTGAAAGCAGACTGCTATGGTATTCCACATGCTCATGCCAATAGAGATCATATTGCCCAAGTAGCTGCTAGCATTGAGGTGAGCAACTCTTTATCCAGATGGATTTGTTTTTTAAATTTATGGTTTTTAGGTTCCTGTATTTGTTCCAAGATCTGGGGTGAAAATTGCGGTTACTGATTCACAAATGGCCGCCAACGGTAACAATGTCGACCTGGATCGTATTACTCAACTTACTCAAGAAATACCAACCAGGGATAAAATTGATGGTGTCATGTTGAAACCCTTGGACTTCGAGAAGGATGATGACACCAATTTCCATATGGATTTCATTGTAGCGGCATCAAATCTGAGAGCCCTCAACTACAAAATTCCTCCTGCGGATAGACACAAGTCCAAACTTATTGCTGGTAAAATTATTCCAGCCATTGCTACAACCACGTCTGTGGTCGCCGGTTTAGTTTGTCTGGAACTTTACAAATTGATTCGATCTCAAAGAAGTCTGGAACCATTTAAAAATGGTTTCGTCAATTTGGCTCTACCATTCTTTGGATTCAGCGAACCTATTGCTGCCCCACAAAAGGAATATGGCGAAAACAAATGGACATTATGGGACAGATTTGAGATTGATGGAGAAATGACTTTAGCTGAATTTTTGCAATATTTCAAAGTGAGTTTTACTTTATGTTTTCATAGCGTTCCTGCCATTTCAAAGTTGACTTTTTCTTATAATTTTGTTGTCTTTTTCAATATCATTTATGTTTGATTAACAATGATAATTATTTCAGGATAAACATAATTTGGAAATCACAATGCTTTCGCAAGGCGTTTGCATGCTTTACTCATTCTTCATGCAAAAAGCCAAAGCTCAAGAACGTTTGGGCCTTTCAATGTCCGAAGTGGTGAGGAGAGTGTCCAAAAAAAAGATCGAACCTCACGTTAAAGCTCTGGTCTTTGAATTGTGTTGCAACGACACTGAAGGTGAAGACGTCGAAGTACCATATGTCAAATATAATCTTCCATAAGTTTTTTTTTGTGGGCCAGATTATTATTTGAAAAAGAAAATCGGAAAAATGTGATCTTTAAGGTTATTTTTTTTTATCCACACAATTTTTTAAGACTCAATGTAATGAATTTAGACTTTGTAATTTGTTGTAACAGCGCGTAGTCCTACATCAACTTAAACTGTTTATTATTTTTTCTATTGAAACCTTAACCATAATAGAGCATTTTTAAAATAAATTATTATCAATATTGCCTAGTATTGCTATGTAACACAATTTGTAAGAAAATTACTTTTTAATTATTTACTTTCTTAGCGATATATAGATTATTTTCTCAAAGGTGTGAAATTAAATAGGAATTTCAAAATTTGTGTGTATTATTTCTCCACTATGATGTGTTGTTCCTGGAATAATGCTGGTAGTTTTTTTTTTGTTATTAGAAGAAGGAGGAGAACATGTCAACTGCATTCACAATAAGCAAATATTTTATTTATGTTTTTAATAAACATAGAATATTTAAGAAAATTGTATTAAACTATCAGAACTCAAATGTATTGATACATGACAAAACAAGCAATAACGATAAATTTCACACAAAATATATTTTTTTCTTAAAATTATTTTTCATACACACAATTTTTACATGAGTAGGAGGCTCCCAGTGTGTGGAGGCTCCCAGTGTGTATCTAATTCCATGTATACTTTTCATTCAACTAGGTATACAACGTGGAAATATTCAAATCTCTTTCTTCTTCATTCTTTATTGCCACGTTTCCAAATAATCACAAGTCCGTCCAAATCACTGGTTGCCAATAAAGACTCATCATAATTAAAACTTATGCTCAAAACACATCTGGAGTGCCCTTGCAATGTATTCACCACTGCTTTGTTGCCAATTTTTTCGATGTCAACAAAATAGACACTTCCATCTTCACTTCCTGTAACTGAAAATAAATACCATATACAATTTCTTTGATATTGGCAAAATAAACTGCTTACCAACACATGCGCCTTGCCTAAAAGACATTATCGGACAAAAAGTTGATCTAACAATGTGTCTTTTATGCCTATTTTGAAATTTTCTTTTCAATTGTAGCCCACCTTCAGCATCAATAACACTAAAAAATAAAATAGGGATAAACTTATAAAGAATTCTACAGATAAAGAAATACATTACCTAAACAAACACATTGAGTTATTACTAGCATTAACCAATAACAATGGATCCCGGGCTTCCCTACTTATCCACGCTCTATAACTTAGGCTTGTTATGTAACAATTAGGATCTACTAATATCCTTTTGGTTTTATAAAGTCCTCCATTAAACTCGCAAAATATGGCAACAATCTCCCCATGGTCATTGCCAGCCCAAATAATTTTCCCATTTGTGTCTGACGTTAAACTCAAAATACTTCCGCTCATTTTGCAAGAATTCTTCAAAAACAAACCAGTCGACACATTGACGATTCTAATCTCTCCCCTGTTATTTCCCACTAATATCAAATTGTTGTTACTGGGTTGAAAAATGCAACATAACATTTGGGCATTATTCGGTTCCTTTAAAGTTCTAAGGCACGTGAAATCATTGGATTTCCATAGTTTTATTGTAGCGTCCAAAGACACACTTGCTATCAAGTCATTGTTTGCTGACCAGTCAAAACCTATAGGAAGAACACATAAATAATTTCTAAAATACCTGCAAATTAGAACTCTTCACGAATGGAAACTTTAGGACAAAAATGCTTTTGATAACAGAAGATATTCTGAAGGCTTTCACGGCCGGTCAAATCTAGTGAAAAACTTTTTTCTGGGCTATAATGCCTTGGTCGAGTGATTCTGGTGTTGATAGAGCGTTTGGTTGTTCCTACATAGACAGATCCACAAGAGCAGGGAATTCTATAGACACCAGCCGTTTCAAGAGGTGCCCTAAGATCCTTGGCCGATTTTAGACTTTGCTGAATTGTTGTAGATAGGTTTAATAATGTGTTTTTCTAGCGTTCGTCTTATGCGATCTGTGAAATTTTTGATGTAGGGAAGAGCGGCTCTCTTCAAGTGCTGATTTTAGGTGTTGCATCTCGTCCTGAAGATATATGGGTTAACAAATTCGGATTGCCCTGTCAGATTGAGTTTTAATGACTCATCTCTTTTACCTAGGATGGTGATTGGATTCCTTGTTGATACCTCAACAAGGAGGCAAGTGTTCTAAGAAAAGGCGGCAATTTTGCAATAACACCAGTTTGGATGTATTCGGTTTCTGTAATTAGTCGGATTTTGGTTTTTAAGGATTTCATGATTTTTGCAAGAAACTTTCTGAGATTTTTATTGATTTTGTAGATTTCAAGGAATTTCATCAGCCAGCTTGGGGTAGGGAGTCAAAGGCCTTTTTATAATCTATGTACCCGATGTGGAGGTTTCTATTATCTTTTCTAGTTTGTCCCATGATGGAACTATCTATAATCAGCTGCTCCTTACAGCTCTGGCTGTTTTTCCTACATTCCTTCTGTTCTTCTGTTAGTATGTTGTTAATTGTTCGATTTTCTTGAAGACTGTAGCTGTGATGATCTTATATAGCATTGGAAGGCTGAGGCTTTACCATCTAGAATATATTATGGGCTTCCGAAGATTCACAAAACAGGTAACCCACTCGTGAGACCCATTGTAAGTGCAATAGATTCGCCCACATACAGCAGCCAAATACCTCACCACTCTCCTTCAGCCACGGATTGGCCAATCCAGCTCTTATGTTAAAGACTCCACTCATTTTATCGGAAAGATCAGTGACATCACTCTACTACCAAACGACATTCAAGGTTAGTTTTGATGTCGTCTCGTTGTTTACTAAGGTACCGGTGCATCAAGCCTTAGAGAATCTGAAAGATGTTTTTCCGGAAGAAATCATTTCACCACTGTCTGACAACTACGTACTTCCAATGGCAAAATGAATTATTTGAGCAGAAAGATAGAGTCGCAATGAAGCAACAGCACACAAATGATAAGGAACCAGCACAGGTGGCAGAGAGAGCCTTTCTTCCCTACATCAAAAATGTCACAGATCGCATAGGACGAACGATAGAAAAACACAACATTTAGCTCATCTACAAGCCCACAAGAACAATTCAGCAAAGTCTAAAATCGGCCAAGGATCGTAGGGCACCTCTTGAAACGGCTGGTGTCTATAGAATTCCCTGCTCTTGTGGATCTGTCTATGTAGGAACAACCAAGCGCTCTATCAACAGCAGGGTCAAAGAGCACAAAAGAAACTGTTAACAGGGACAAATAGATAGATTAGCAATCGCCGAACACGTGTTAAGACAAACAAACCATGTCATTCGTTCCAACCAGACTCAGCAAACGTTTTTACACCAGGCTCCACAGAGAAGCCATAGAAATACAGAAACGTCACAACAACTTCAACAGAAAAGAAGAGGGCAAGAACCTTAATAAAAGCTAGTTGCCAGTTCTCCGAAAAACAAAGACCCTTCCTTTCCGAGAACGAGACAAGGAAAATAGCTTAACCAAGTCACACCCACATCCCTGAATATAAATAACGCAGGTCCAACAACGTCGAATCTAGTCATCGGAGGAACATGGAAGAGAACACCTCGTCCTCTACCAGACCGCCTCTGAAGATGTTTGCCGCAGCAGTAGACGAAACGTTAGGTATTATAGCCCGAAAAAAACTTTTTCACTAGAAGATATTCTGTTAAGTATGGCGTTCAAAAACTGGCAAAAAGTGGAAAGTACCTAGGTATTCTGATTATTCCGTGATTCCCACATATCGCTTAAAAACAAAGTTTTTACCTGGAATAGCTTGTTTATGTCCTTTTAATACAGCCAAAACACACGGTGGACCAGATGCCACATCGCAAACAGACAAATTGCAATCAAGTGAACTACAACATATCCTGGATCGATCATTGTTTGCAAATTTAACCATTGTAACAGCGGCTGAATGCTGAAACAAAACAAACATCCTTAAAGTAGCTGATAGAAGAATAATAATTATTCTTGTATGAACCTTTTGTTCATGAATAAATGAATAAAAATAAACTTCATACTGCAGACAAAACAGGTACCTGATCGAATATATGATGTACTCCACTAAAAGCATAATTTTCAGCAATGCTGTTTCCACCCACTATTGCTCTAGATGCTTCCGCTTCTTTTGTTGGTACCAGGAAAACGTTACTTGAGGCCGAAACTGGTATTTGGCATTCTGTCATAATGCTAGTCTGCAAGAAACAATGTATGAATATTGGGGAAAAAATTCACAATTTCTACAGCAATCACAAATCACTTGAGTTGGTTGGTGATTTTTGTAGAAATCAATCTCTGACAAGTAAATGCCTAGATTCTATAGTACTTCTTAGAAAACAGGCCCATATTTTGTTTAAAATTACTGAGTAAATTCATTATCATTTGTTGAGCTAAAAAATAAACCTACCCTGCTTACTGTCCGAGATAAATTAGACGAGGACGCAGATTCTAATTTGCAATTGCCATAACGTTGCTGCAGTAGATTTGAACGCGTTTTGAGATATTGTTTCCATTGATCAGCATTTCTGTTGGTCTCTCGCAACAGCTGGCTACGTCTACGGATATAAAGAGTTCCTAAAAGAATTTATTTCTAATATATATATTTTTAACGTATTTTTGAAAAAATACAGTAGAGGCTTCAAAATGGATGAATTCTTATTATAGGTACCACTCATATTTTGTACCAAAGGACAAAAAAGGAATTTTCAACTATGACCAAGCATAGGTATCTCCAATTTTATCATAGATAGGAATCTAAAATTCTGAGAGAATCTTATTCTATAGTGAAGGATTACAAACCCTGAAAATTTTAACTGATTTGGAGTTATGGTTTTAGAGATAAATCCCGCTAAAAACAAGAAGGGAATCTAGGTATTATTTCCAATTTGGGACTCATAAAGGCTTAAACATCGTTTTAATTTTTAGCTGGTAGTCATAATATAACTTAAGTATTTTTTTATTTTATCCGTGTTTGCATTGCCTGCATTTTTTCATAATACATGTATTTATTCAGATGTATTCTTTCTGCAATCTATGTATTCTCCTTGCAATCCCCTTTCAATCCATCGAAATCACATTGAAATTTTGCACTCATAAATGTGTTATCTATTGTAAGCATCTGAAATCCATGTACATTTCCATGAAATTCATTTGGAATCTTTGAAATCAAGCTGTATTCTTTGAAATAAATGTTGTAATCAGTGTTCAATCTGTACAGCTGCATGTCCCAAATTCAAGGGTGACCATTGAGATATCGGAAACTATAAGAGATACGAGGTCGGTTCAATTATGGCGAAGTTGCGCAATTTTATGACCACTAAAACGCCGTTTCGAAATTTGAAAAATTCCGAATACTTCCGAAGATATTCGGGAAAAACCGAATTTTTTCAAAATCCTTTTTAAATTTTTTCTTGAGTTCATTTGAAGAGCTATTTGAAAATAAATGTCACTTCATCATTGTCACCTGTTTCCCTTTACAAGATGTTCCTACCAAATTTAAGATTCAACGTTTCGTCTTTGGGCGGCCATCCTCAACTTTACTTTTTTAAATACGGACCTGGATTTTTTGTAGGTAATATTAGAAAGTTTTGGGACATCAGAAGCTATTAAAATCTGAAATAAAAAATCCAGGTCCGTATTGAAAAAAATGAAGTTGATGATGGCCGCTCAAAGACGGAATGTCGAATCTGAAATTTGGTAGCGACATCTTGTAAAGGGGACAAAGCGAGGGAAAAAGTGACAATGATAAGGTGACATTTATTTTAAAATTGCTCTTTAAATAGACTCAGGAAGAAATAAAAAGGATTTTGCAAAATTTCGGTTTTTTCGAAATAGCTTCGGAAGTATTCGGAATTTTGCAAATTTCAAAACGGCATTTTATTGGTCATAAAATTGCGCAACTTTGCAATGATTTTCCGATATCTCAATGATCACCCTCGAATTTTGGGACACCCTGTACAACTAAGAATGTTTTTGTAGAATAATTATTTTGTAATTTGTAATGAGTTACTTTAAAGGTCTGTTCCCACAGGAGTTTCTGACAGTTTGCAAACTGTCGGTAAGCATCGCACATGCATGTTTTCAATGCCATCGTTTCAAAATAAATCTGTAACTCAGTTGAGCGATTGCTTTTAACAGTTTGCAAACTGTCAGAGACTCCTGTGGGAACAGACCTTCAAAGAGGTCTTTCTTGATGTTTTTTGTGCATTTGTTTTCATTTCTAGCTCTAATAAAGGTGGCTTTCCTTGCCCTGCGATATGCTTTGGATACTGTAAGTTTTCGCTGTCAGCCACATGTCTCAACATTGTAGCGAAAGACATCTATTCGTATTTATTCAATAAAACAGCTCTGGAAAGTTTATTCTATTTCTATTTTATTTTTGGGCTTAAAGGTTAGTACCTATTATTCTAGGTATTATTTCCAGTTAGAAAGTCATAAAGGCTCAAACATGGTTTAAATTTTCAGCTGGGTAATATGTCATTATATAACTTCAGTATATTTTTATTTTACCCTTCTTGGCAATTCCTGCATTTTTTTATAATCCATGAATTCTGATCTATGTATTCTCCTTGCAATACATGTAATCTTTGCAATCCTTTGCAATCCTCTTGGAATCCTTGCAATCCCCTTGTAATCTTTGCAATTCCCATTGTAATCACTGGTAATCTTTATGAAATCTTTGAAATCGCTCGCTGAAATCAGTGTACACATTTTTTTACCGCCGCGGTTTACCAGGTGATTGTCTATATTCTTCACCCACACCTATCTCACCTGTTTAAACAGATACCCAGAAATGTCAAATGTGAAAGTTGTAGGCAATGAACTCCATATATTATTGTCCCATTGGATTAGCCTTTCAAACCTGATTCCAAATATACTAGGTTTTTTTGGTTTATTCCTAATAGTCCAGGAGAAAATAGGACAAAAATGTGAGGAATAATTTCATTTTTATTGCAAAAGGTGAAGTATAGAGACCACCAGCAAAATATTATAGTATTATTATTATATTATATTATATTATTACTGGAATTGGTTAATTTACAATAAATTGCACTTAAGTATAGACTACAATAAATATTTCTTCACTATCACATGGTATTGTTATTATTCTGCACCTAGACATAAATATCTGTATGTGCAGTTAGCATAGAGAAAAACATACTATAGTACAATTAGCAATTAGCCATAACTCAGCAATAGATTCTATCAATAATTTACATAAAGCAGAAGACAAAAACAAGAGTGGATTTATTTTGAAATGTATACGTAATCATTTATATCTTTATAGGTACCAGGTTGTAGAACTTAGGAGCTAAGTAATTAAAAAATCTTAAATTTAGATTGGAGTTGCTATTTGTTATTATGAGATGCCCACTTTGGTTATTTCTGGTACTAAAGGGGTGATTAATTTTTTTCTATAGAAGATGATTTAACATAGACGTTCATGCAAAGAGAATAGATATACAATGTTCTTACGTTAGGAACATCTTTAGAATATAAAAGGGCTGTAGAATACCTTTTGTTCTTTCCATAAACAACCTTAAGGATATAATTTTGGACCACGTTTAATTGTCTTATAGCATTGTTGTACAGTAGACCACCCCATATGGGAATGCCATACCTTATCAGCGACTCTATCATCGCTTTGTAAACCTAGAAATAAGTCTTCGAATATTGAGGGTAAGTCGAGCAACATGTTTGTCCCATCTGAGGTGCCTATCAATAGTGATACCCAAGTACTTGGTGGCCTCAACCTCCCCAATGATCTCCTCACCCACAGGGCCGTCTTAAGGCATGGGCCCAGGGCCTCGGCGCCTCCACGCCCCATTTAAAATAAATTTTATAGAAAAAAAAATGGGGAAAAAAATATAGGCGGGTAGCGATAGAATGCAACTTCCACAATGTCACAATTTACTTTGACTTTGTTCGAAACCTCTACGATTTATTTTCCTCGTCAATGCACCGTTGGGAAATGAATTCAAATTTAAGTTCCAATCATGAGGTACTGAAAAGATTATCAAAAACACGTTGATCTTCACGTGAAGAATAGATGCAGTTACGAAAATGTCTCTTCCCGCACTCGTTAGGAAAATAGCTATTACCTACGAGCGTGCGGTGAAGTGCATTTTTCCGCCCTTATTTGCAAATGGAAAGTAGGTAGCACTTTACCACGTAGCATGCGGTAAAGTGAACTGCAAAGTGTGAGGTAAAGTAGACTTTGGTATTTATGATTCAAAATCCTTTCTTTTGCAGAAAATGGATTTGCTTTTACCTTTACCGCCCTTAGAGGCTTAACCAATCTACTGTCGTTGCGTGCGGTAAAGTATCACTTCCGCATTCGTTAGGTAAATAATTATTAAATCATTATTGGCATATATAAGAGAAAAAGAGACGGTTTTAATTTTTATTAATCAAAATCAAGAGAAATATCTGTTTTAAAGGAGTACCGCGATATTAGGAAACGAGTGAAAAGACAAAGTAACTTTCCTTGAAGGTAACGGTAACAAAATATTTGAAAAAATCGTTTTTTTTTTTTGAAAAAATGTCTGACCCAACTGAAATTGAAATTTCAAGAGAAGCGGTAAAACTGTCACAATTTTATGACGAAGAAACCGATGAATTGATTTTGGAATGTGACCATTTCAAATCCTATATCAGCATAGATATTGAAAAACTAGAAAAACAGGAAGTAGAAATGGAGAGGAAACATGAAATTGGCATGAGAATTTTTTTATCCATGATTTGTTGAGTAGTGAAGCAAAATTTTACAAACCATTGATTTTGAAGACATTATTCACGATTTCGCCTCTGTAAAATCTAGAAAACGACCTTTGTAATTTGTCATTTTCTTTTCCTACGACCACATACGAAAATGACAAAATTAGCACTAGCTGGTTCTTTGGAAAGCGCTAAATATCACACGCGTGCTGAAAGTACTCCCAATAAGCCTGCTAAAAGTACTTTCAGCACATGTGTGGAAAATACTGGTGATATTATTTGTGATTGACATAACAATTTACTTTCAATACGTGGTTTGAAAGTACTTTCAGCACGTGTGTGAAGAATGAAAAGAAATAAAATAAGTGAAAATTGGTGAAAATCGGTTTTTGGTCGTAGGAACAATGGTGTACAGGGTGAGTCATTTTGGGTGGGAATGCCGGGTACAGCCTAAACGGCGATTGCTACAAAAAATCTAATATACGAGTCGCGATCTATTTTTTCGAGTATAGTTTACTGGATCACTCAGAATTTTTCGGAATTCACTTGTTTTCGATATACAGGGGTTTTTTGGAAAATGGCTGGTTTCTGTTTTTCTCTGTACTTATCTCAGTTGTTATCAAAAATTTAAGAAAATGTTAAATTACGTTTTTGTGTAATTTTCTACGTAGAATCCAGTGGCGTATTCAGATTCTTTTTAGGGGTATTTTTTTTGAGATACAGTCCAAATTTTAACTTTTTAAAATGGGACACCCTATATATTTTTACATCGTTAAATTAGATGTTTTTTTGTGATTATAACGATATATAACACTTTATAGTTTAATTAATTTTAACTGTCAAAAACGCGATAAAACTATATTTTTGGGGTATTTTACCTCCCAAACACAAACGTGGTTCGGCGGTAGCGGGAGCAAGCGCTGCAGCGACACGGGATTAGAAAATATGGTGGGAGATGATACATTTTATCCTAAAGCGTGATTTCTCTTACTTGTCCTGCCACATATTTTAGTCCACGCTGCCCCTCCTGCGGTACCGCACTGGTGTGTAGGATCCTTTAATGAACATTTTTAGTCAAACAAATCATATCCAGTTTTCCTATCTATATATATAAAAATCAAAGTTCGCGGGATATCCAGATATGCGCTCCAAAACCACTTATCCGATTACGATGAAACTTTGGTAGGTTGTTATGGCCATCCCAAGGAAGGTTTGTGGATAGGTTACGCATCTCGGAAAAAGAAATTAATTTTGAATCAATTATTAATTTAATTGTAAACAAACTCATTCACATTACATAACAACATAACCCAACTTTTTTTGACAGCATGAAACAACGTTGCCATATTTCATTTATTTAAGCTTGCATTCAACCGACGTATTTTTATTATTTTTTGAATTCAGGAACGGGTGGACCGATCTTGAATTAATACCACGTATCTCTATATAAGGTGAATTCGATTGACCCAGATTAGATCGATTTGGGTTCAATTTAAGTGAACTTCTTCTGATCTAGATAATTTTTTTGTTGATGAGGGTGCACTGATCCAGCTTGAATCGAACAAAGTGTGGTTCACTTAAATTTGAACCAAATCGATCTAATCCGGTCAATGGAATCGGCTATAGAGGAGAGTGATATAGGCTATTTTTTATCCCGAAAAAAAAGTTCGGTTGCGTAAAACTCTGATACACTGGAACGCCTATAAACAGCCCGGGGCGCTCTAGAGCAGCTCTGGAGTGCCTAAAATGCGTCACTGAACTCACTGGCAAGCGACTATGATATCGGATTAAAAAAAAAAAATTAAATAGAAAATCAACAACAAAATTTGAAAAGAAGTGTATTATTTCAAAATGTATTTACATGCTGGCAACGCAGCGGGTCATTAGCTAGTTAAATATAAATAAAGGAAATTTTTCGTGAACTAGCAGACAGAATAGCCAACTAGGCTTCAAACCTAGGACCAGGACCCTTGGCCTAGATTCAGTAATTGCCGAAGGTTGCACTAACACGTTAAAAGTTGCAAAACACTTGACCGATTGGGAAAAAAATTGAGGAAAAAATGAACCGACGCCATCGGTATCTCAGTTGGTATGAGACTGGTTATCCAGGAGGTCCTAGGATCAAATCCTAGTCTCTTCCAAGTTTTTCGTTAACTAAGACACTGGAAAAATTAGCTCACGCTCACGCTCACACTATTTAATAATTGCATTACTAGATATGTTTGATGAGGTGTTTGTTAGAGATTTGCTTATTTATGTTACTGAGCAGGAGCAACCCAGGCATTCGGTTCATTTTGATCCAGTCAAGTGTTTCGTCTACTTTTAACGTGTTAGTGAAACAATCGGAAACCTTCGGTGATTACTGAATCTAGAGGTCCTAGGTTCGAATTTCGAATCCTAGTCGAGTCTAAAGTTTTAGTTAACTTTTGAATTAGCCATTCTGTCTGCTAGATCACGAACGATTTCCCTAGTTTATATTTAATCAGAAAACAGAGTGAAATTTTCAGGTTGAATAAAGATGTATCCTTTAGTCAATTTATTCACCTACATATTAAAAAAAAATATATATTCATTTTGAATGAAATTACTAACGAACCACGGCTCGATATGATTTGTTTTATTAAATGATCATTAAAGGATCCTACACACCAGTGCGGTACCGCGGGAGGGGCAGCGTGGATTAAAATATGTGGCGGGACATGTAAGTGAAATCACGCTTTAGGATAAAATGTATCATCTCCCACCATATTTTCTAATCCTGTGTCGCTGTCGCCCTTGCTCCCGCTACCGCCGAACCACGTTTGTGTTTGGGAGGTAAAATACCCCAAAAATATAGTTTTATCGCGTTTTTGACAGTTAAAATTAATCAAACTATAAAGTGTTATATATCGTTACAATCACAAAAAAACATCTAATTTAACGGTGTAAAAATATATAGGGTGTCCCATTTAAAAAAGTTAAAATTTGGACTATATCTCAAAAAAAAAAATACCCCTAAAAAAATCTGAATACGCCACTGGATTCTACGTAGAAAATTACACCAGCCATTTTCCAAAAAACCTCTGTTTATCGAAAACAAATGAATTCCGAAAAATTCTGAGTGATCCACTAAACTATACTCGAAAAAATAGATCGCGACTCGTATATTACATTTTTTGTATCTATCACCGTTTAGGCTGTACCCGTCATTCCCACCCAAAATGACTCACCCTGTACATCACTTGTGAGAAAGCGTCTTTCGTACACACGTGGGAAAAACACTCGTGTGAGATGTGTCACTTTCTACACTCGTAATGTAATATACTATTCCACAATATAAACATTACATTTCTACATTTTAAAAGTTTTTCTAACCTATTCATGTCGTATGCCCTAAAGCATACCCCCCGCCCCCCCCCCCCCCCGTAGGTAAGGGGCCTCTTTTGACATATAGGCCCAGGGGTGCGATTTTCGAAACCATTCGAGTACATTCCGTATACGTAATATGACTGACAGCAATGTAAACTAAATGGGGAGCATTCGACTTTGTATCAAATTTCGTATACGAAATGTACTCGAATGAATTCGAAAATCGCACCCCAGGGCCTCAAGAAGTCTTAAGACGTCCCTGCTCACCCAAGTTTATGCTGGTAAAATGTGGTCGATTTACAGAGGTAAGTGAAAAATATTTTCTGTTTTGCCAATGTTTAGAGTTAGTTTGGATGTCTGTAGCCAGCAATTAACCCTTGTAAGCCCTTCTTCGGCTGATGTTTTAACATCATGCCATCCTCTAAAGAGGATAACCGTGTCGTCAGCATATGATATGATAGTTCGATTGTTTATTTTTAGGTTCGTTAGAGAATTTATATAGCAAAAAAGGTAATCATTCATGTAAAAAATCCATATTATTTCTTCAAAATGGGATATTTAAGAGGCTGAACTATGAGGAATAAACCTTAAGAACCTAGTATATTTGGAATCAGGTTTGAAAGGCTAATCCAATGGGACAATAATATACAGGGTTTTCCATTTAAAAAAGTATAACTTTGCTTTGCCAAACTTTTGTGCCACATTCTGGTATACCTACTTGTAACTAACATCATTGGAAGCTTTCTGATATTACCTACAATTTTCACATTCGACATTTCTGGGTATCTCTTCAAACAGGTGAGATAGGTATGGGTGCAAAATATAGACAATCACCAACTCTGGGAAATTATTTCAAATTCTTTTATAGATAGAAACCTGAATGTTCAGTGAATCTTATCCTAGTGGAGGACTACTACAATCCCTAAAAATTTGTACTTATAATTTCAGAGATAAAACTGTGTTAAGCAATGTGGGGTGAATTTTTCGATTTTTCAATTGTCCTGAAGTCCTTTATCCAAAGATTAGGCTTCAAATCTCACAATCATTTACATTATGGAGCTTGAGTAAGTACCATACTTATTTGCTATAGCATAAAAATGAATAGGTAATACAAGTAAAATGTTTATACAACTTTCTTATTGGCTGGAATTAAAAATTAGTTTTTACCTAAGGTTTCAACAGTTCACTATACCAGGGCGACTTTGTTATAAGTAGGTAGGTATAACTTATCATGAACTTATAGGAGAGTTATTACTAGTTTAGTTTTCCAATAGAGAAAATATGCCTACTACCAAAAATCGTTCATACCGGCTTTTTTTGGTTGCATTGGCATTGAGTGAGGTGATACCTACTAAACCGTATATGGTATGATTTCAAAGAGTTTTCTACCCAACGTTTAAATAATCCTTACATAAAATGATTTTTGGTACTTGGACTTGGGTTAGTAGGTACTTTACCTATGTCCTCAACTAGGTAATAATCTGAGATAGAGGTCAAAAAGAACTATATTCCATGAATACCTACTTAAGGAAAAAACCTATCTAATTTCATAATATTTCTACATACAAACTACCTGCTCCTAGATAGTATTTGATAATCGATTATTTCTTACTAAAATTAGGACTTCCAGTGGCTCTATGTGCATTGTATCTTGCATCCAATGCAAATACTTGTTGTTGCAAAGCTGTGGTCATTATATTTCATTAATCAACTTAAAGAAGCAAACGCTACTAGTTTCAATAATTTATATTTTATTGTATAAAACAGTTTTAGTTAATAATTTCCGTATTTTTATTTTCGATTGGTACACACAAAATACAAATAAACAAAAATCAGCTGAGCACTGTAACAATCAGCTACTAATTTTTGGGTTAGAATGTCAATGTCAGGCTAGATAGATTCGTCTTTGCTAGATTCTAATGAGACTCCAATATTGAGGCATAGAGGCAAACCTCCATGGGTTGATCCTGATGCAGTTTTGAGTTCTGACACACAGGCATAGATTAGGTATTTTTCAGTTTCCAACATTCAAGGAGATACCGACTTCCAACCTTAGGATACCCAAATATGTTTATTGAGATTTGTAAGTTTTATTACTACCTCCATGCAAGGTTTTTTTTTATAGATATCTACTCTTATCATATCCTTATTTCTACTGCTGCATGATACTGCATTATAAAACCATTTTATAGTACTTAGCTGTATAAATGTGTATAATGGCTGGTTTATACAACATTTGCATAGTCGTAATCATAATCATAGTCTTTAGTCATAAGAGTTAAAATAATATTTTCTTATGGAACCGTTTATACACAAATCATAATCATAAGCATAAGCATAAGCATAACTCAAAGTTGGCAACTTTTAACTTTTATGATTGTGACTAAAGTCGTTTTCTCGCGGGGCGAATGGTTCGAACACGGTTCGAACCGCGGTTTAAACCAATTTCTAGATGACGTCATTACGTGTCAACGCGAGAAAATGAGAGGTTTGAACCACAACCTTACGTCAACGAAGGAAAGGAATGATGGCCTAACCCTACTTTTTTTCAGTTTGGCGGGACGGGTAGAGTATTCAGTGACTGTGATCTCTTTTTGAATAATATATTATTTTTGATTTTGTCCAAAGTAAAGGAACTAGTTCCCCTTATCATAGTAAGAATCATGGACATTTTAACAATTTTAATTAATAGACCATCGTTGGCACAACAATTTCTACAGCAATGGATAAATAGAGAAGATGCTTATTTATTGAATTATGCATCCCTGGACCCCTTCGAGCATCATATACGACCGTATGCATATTGCCAAAATTGGCTCCCTGAGTACTTGGAGTACGATTTCATTCAGCTTTTCCGAGTGCACAGAGCTGCCTTTAATAGCTTATTGCAACAAATTCACCAGGGATTAAGTATTCCATATGTAGGAGGAGAAATGCCAATATCCCCAGAAAAAAAACTCATGATGACTTTGTGGTGGCTTGGAAAAGGAGAAACTCTTTTGTCGGTTTCTCATAAATTTAATGTGGCTTTGTCAGCAGTCCACAAGTGCATATATGTTGTATTAGATGAAATTATTAATTACTAATAAATACCATTTATTAATTACTAATAAATACCATTTATTATTTGAGTAGTGTTAGATTTCAAACTAAACCGACAACGGTAACAACCAACTAAACCTCAAACTCTCGAACAAAAGAAGAAATCCAACCGAACAACAACAAACAAAACCGACAGCGCATGCGTCTATTTTTGGAACATGCCATGAGTCCGGTTCGAACTTTTTTGAACCAGGTTCAATGTGACGTCACTGGTTCAACGCGAGAATGTACAGGGGTGCGATTTTCGAAACCATTCGAGTACATTTCGTACACGAAATTTGACTGACAGCAATGTAAATTAAATGGGGAGCAGTCAAATTTCGTGTACGAAATGTACTCGAATGGTTTCGAAAATCGCACCCCAGTTTCGAAACGAATTGAACCGCGTTCAACCGGTTCCATCGCGAGAAAACGGCTTAAGACGAGATCCAGACTGCGCAAGCGCCATTATCAGCTGTTACAGAGAAAAACAATTCAATCTGCTATTTTAGTTCTGTTTGTATTTAAATTGATCTTGAGTCTTTCTAGAGTATTTAAAAAAAAGGGTCTCCATCAAGCTTCTACATGTCTTTGAATAATGTGGCAAAATGCCCTTCCTTCTGCCTTTTTTTATTGATGGGACTCACTTTCCACCTTCTTTGTTTATGGTTTGCGTTTGTTGAAGTTGTTTATTAGCAAAACTCAAAAATAAATAGGACAGACCTATCACTTGTATGGTTTTCTTTCGCAGAATTTTAATTTCCACACTTTTTGAAACTTTGAAAAAGTATTAAAAGTAAATAGACGAGTTCGATTCGCAAAAAGTAAACAAATTCTCCCTACAAAAAGTCAGGTTGGAGTTGATTTTATTTTAGGCCGTGGCTAAAGTAACAGAGGTGTTACTATAAATATTTTCTTAAAGTAACATCAATTACGACGTCACTGACACTAAAAGCAGAACCCTTACAGAAGCGAGGTTATAAGTTAATACTGAGCAATGGCTAAATATAAACAACAATATTATGATGCTAAACTTTGGTATCGCGAAGGTGATTAGTCGGCGGCTCCATATTTCCATTCCTCACATGCCCTTACTTAATAGTTATTTGTAATCCAAAGGGAGGGGAGTGTGTGTAGGTAAAATTTGATTACTTAATTACCAAAGAGAGAAACGGAACTTCACTACTCCAAGGGAATATACCTACTTAAGTATATGATTTTTCATACAACAAGATAATAGTAATTGATAATCTATACCTAATACCTGCATTACACATGAGGAGATATACGATACCTAACATAAAACTATTATCTACAGCGAAAAAACTTCTGCCTGGGAAGGAAAATAATTTACTTTCCTCCCTAGGGTGGGGAAATAACTATTTTCCTTCCTGAAAAGAAGGTAAAAAATTGTCACTTTCTGACAGGGTCATAGGGAAATGTGTCTTTCCTGCCTTGCCCATACTGCCTGTTTCATAGGTACCTATTCTATTCTATCCTTCAAAGTCAGGTTATTTTTTATATATTTCCATTTTTACTCTAAAACAAATACCAAGAATATCACCTTTACTTTAAATTGCTAAAGAAAGTACCTATCTACATATTGCTATATTGACGTTACTTCAAGAAAATAATTAGAGTAACACCTCTATTACTATAGCCCCTAATAAAAGTAACGTTGTCATCAGTGACGTCATTGAACTGATGTTACTTTAAATTAATAATTATAGTAACACCTCTGTTACTTTAGCCAGGGCCTTTATTTTATGCTTATGACATTGTATAAATAAACGCCTTCTAAAATTGTGATTATGATTAAGACAAGACTACTATGATTATGATTACGACTATGCAAATGTTGTATAAACCAGCCATAAAACAGAGTCTTATAAGATAATTTTTAAGAGAACTGTTGTATAAAAATTATGGGCCCTTTTTCCTTTTTGGTTGTATAAGGATCAAATTCAATTCAGGATTCAATTGTTTTGTAGAACGTTATAAGAATTTCAGTATCCTCTGTAAGATATACTTATCTTTATAGTTGTTTATACTTTTTTTTGCAAACAATGCTCAGCTTCACTCTGTTTGCCCTTGACACTACTGTTTAACCAATCTCTTTCCTCTGGAGCTTTTCCAGATGTATGGAAAGGTTCTGCTATTAAACCAAATACAAGAATGGTCAAAAAAACAATTTCAAGGATTATAGACCCTATCATAGTAAATTATGTAACTTTTCGAAACTGTTTGAAAAACTGGTTTATCTATATATTTTAACTTTGTAATACGTGATATTATGCCTCAACAATATGGTTTTTTGCAAAAGAGGAGCCTAGAGTTAAATTTGATAGAATACTCAGTACATACGAAACCTGTTGTCAAGTAGATGTAATTTATACTGATTTTAGCAAAGCATTTGACAAAATTTGTCATAATATTATGATTGACAGGCTGGCGGAGATGGGAATCTGTGGTAACCTCCTGAGATGGTTTCAATCATACTTACTTAATAGATCTACGTTTATTGCCATCTTAGGGTTTTGTTCTGAAAGATTCTCACCATCGTCGGGGGTCCCTCAGGGTTCCCATCTTGATCCTCTCCTGTTCATGATCTACATCAATAACTTAGAGTTATGCTTTTAATACTGCCTGCTTCTGTGCTAAGCTGATGACCTGAAGATATTTCTTAAGATTGCCTCTATTGCAGATTGTGAAACTCTTCAGACAAGTATAAATACCTTATTACAGTTTTCTAATGAAAATCACTTATTTTCAATTTTCAAACTTTAAACAACAATAAATTATGACTACAAATTAGGAAATACTTTTTTAAACAGATTTTCTTACATCAAAGATTTGGGGGTCCTATTTGATTCCAAAATGTCCTTCAATCTACACATTGACACATTGGTTAATGATTGTAATAGCATTCTTGGACTTATCAAAAGACAGGGTGCTGATTTTCATAATTATAAAACAATTATAAATACAACAATGCAATATCCATAGACTTGAAAAAATTCAAAATAAATTTTTACAATTTTTATGTTACAATGTTACAAAACTCATTTTTACATTGCAAATCATGACTACTCAATGGCTCGATCACATTATAAAATTCTTGAATTTGTGACAACACGAACCATAGGTATGTCCAGAGCTGGGCAAAGCCTTCAGTAAAAGGGCTTGAAGCACTAAGCCCTAAGCCCTCTATCAAAGTGCTTCAATTTCAAGCACAAATTCCTTTTTATTTTCAAAAGTGCTTCACAAGCACAAAGCCCTCAAAGTGCTTTGGGCTTGACAAGCACAAAGCCCTCAAAGTGATTTGAAAAGTGCTTGAAGCACATCAAAAGTGCTTGGGGTGCCTTGAAAAGGGCTTCAAGCTCTTTAAATGTGCCTAAAGCACTTTGAATTTGTAATAAAATTTTCAAAGTGGCATAAGCTACCGCGTACACTCATCACACAGAATTGGTATAGTAGAGACGAACTTTACATTTCACAGAGTAGCAGTAGCAGAGCTGGGCAGTAATTGCCTTGAAAGTGCTCGAAAAAGTGCTTCAAGCACAATAGTGCTTCGAGCACAGTGCTTGCAAGCACTTTTAAAATAAAGTGCTCGGTAATTGGTAATCGAAGCCCTCTATAAAAAGTGCTTGGTAATTGGTAATTGATTTTCATTTAAAGTGCTTGCAAGCACTCAAAAGAGCTTGCAAGCACTTTAAAGGCTTGCAAGCACTAAAAATCAAGTAACAACTTAACGCAGCAGCATAAGCCTTAATGTGATTGGCTGGTTGAAGGCCGTCTCGGCGTCGGCAATATGGAAACATTTGTGTTGTGTGTTGTGTTGTGTTAAGGTGTATGCTAACTGGCGATTGCCAATGTCACTATACTACCACAGTATATTAGTCTTTATCTTTAGTTATAATAATGGTAATATTCGATGATACAGTGTAGTGTAGTGTATGTAGAGTGAAGAGACGAAGACTAGTAATAAATTAAGGACAAAAA